GACACTTGGAGCTGGGCTATCAGCCAAGAGCCAAAAAGACATCGACATATGCATATAGCGTGGCCAACACAAAATACGAAATGCGACAAAGAAACTGTTTAAAATTCCACATACAAATCGTTGCAGTGGCCGCCGTTGAAAGCGAAATTGAAGCCGAAATCGAAATTGAAAATGAAAATGGGTTACAACTGCCAAGGTCGCTGCAGGAGTTGAAAGCGAAAGCGAATGGGGGGAGGGGGGGCATAGTATGCCCCACTAATGCATATACACTGAAAAACTACAAAAAAGATCAAGCCTATTTCAAATTATTATTTTTATGATCTTAAAACTAACTTATTTTGATCACAAAAATAATATTTTATTTAAGATGTTTGTTTAAAAATAAATATATTATAATATAATTATCATATTCCAATCTTGACAAAAATTATTGGCTGAAATTTATAGATAATAACCATTTCATTTACCATGTTTATTTGTATTTTGCTCTTAGAAGTACATATGTATGTTAAACTATTAGATCTTTAAAATACAAATAAACAAAAAAACAAATTATAATTATTTATATAAAGTTAGGAAAATCAATGCTTACACTATTAAAAAATATTATGAAATTGTTTATATTTAAAAGGCAATTTATTTCTTTAAATTTCATATTTCTCTGTGTAAAATCCATATCGCAATACCCTCCCCCCACTGCAGCGAAACAAAAGACTTAGACAAGACACAAACTTGATCGGCATCATCATTATCATCCGCATTTATGATCACCATCATCAAAATGCATTGATGAATGCAGGGGCTTTTCGAGTCACATTTAACCCATTGACTTCCCACGACGGCCCAGCATAAGTGAGTTTTTGATTGGATTGGAAAACCCAAAAATGGAAAAAGATGCGTGTGTCTAATAATAATATCTACGTTTCTGCTGCGGAAAAAAATGGATATTTGTTTATATTTATCAGTGATTAAATGTTTATTGTAATGGACCAACTCAGCAAAGCTGGGAGTTCATTAATATTCGATTTGGTATTTTACTTTGTTTTGTTGTGAAAAAATTTAAAAATAAATATATACAAGTACAAACTCTTTTTTTCTGAATTTTAAAACCACACAAAAAATAAATACACGACAAATAATATCCATTACGTTTTTGTACTCAAAAAACAAATATATTTTGTTCATTTTTGAACATTATTAAGCATTTTATTGTTTTTCCCTTTGTTTTCTAATAACTTTTTCATTACTCATAACTTGTGCTGAGTTTATTAAGCAATTCTCTTTTAGCAAAACATCTTAATTTAATTATCTTTTATTTTTATTTGGTCTTTTTAACCTTTCTTTATTCTCCTCGTTTTAAACTGTTAACTTTGCTTCTTTTTTACGCGTTCTTAATATCCGAATCACTTTATTTTTTGGCACAAAACTTTGCGCTGACTTTGCATTTTCCTCACACTATTTGGTATTTGAATTGCAACTCCGTGTTTCGTGTGCATTTCCACGTTTTATTGTTTTGTGGCATCTTGTTTGCGCTGCAAACATTTGTACATGCAAACAAATAGAGACATCGTGTTATCAATACGTATACGCCTAGTTGGTTTTAGCCGATCCACGAGTGTTGCCATCGCGTTGATGGGTTTGATCTTTCGCCATTGATCGCTGATCTTTTGGATGTCGCTGGTGTTGCTGGTGCATGTTGGACATTATTTGGAAATAGCTCTTTGTCTGCCCAGAGGGGCCCAAAAAACCGGTTGAAAAAATGCATTCAATATTACACCGCGAAGGGAAGAGATGGGCCCTCTGTTTGGCCAAGCAAACAAGAATTCTAGATGGCTAATGGAGCCAGCCGGGAAAATTCGCACGAAATGCCAAAAAGCCAAGACGGCAACATTTCAATTGGCAAAGCTAGCCACGCAAACTTCACAAACTTGCCCAATTGCCAAACTGCAGTCAGTTCGCCGGTTTGTCAGTCAGTCAGTAAGTCAGACACTTTTTAGAGCCGCAAGTCAAGTGTTGCACGTTGCCGTTTGGACGTTGGTTGTTGCCTCTTGAAAAATAGCAGCAGGCAACGTGCAACTTGGCCTGTTAATGAGTCGCCGTCGACGTTGGTTGTTGGTTGTTCCGCGGAACCAAACTCGCTCAGATTGCCACAGGCCAACTGACATGGCCAAAACTATAGCCATATAGTCATAGCCATAACATCAGTTAGAAAAAAACTGTATGCCAATTGAAAATCAACATAATTATTATTAATTTCTAATTAAATCTAGAAATTTAAATTTCTTTATTAGATACTATAATATTAAATATCTTTTCATCATACGTATTATTATTAATTCCTAATTGAAATAAAATAAAAAAATAAAAATAAAATAAAAATTTCCCAATAGTTTACTATAATATTAAATAACTTTTAACTTTTCATGCTAACGCCCAAAAGTGAATTTTCCACTATTAACTTGTTTATATCTACCAAGTATAAATCTTATAAATTTACTTTTTTAAATGTAAAAAATGTTGTAAAATAACAGGTTTTTCTTTTTCTTAATAGCTTAGGCATTTCTTATTGTGTAGAATCGTACTTGCAGCCGCAGAGTCAATTGCCACATTCTTCTTTTTGGCCACCCGACGAAAGAGAATGGTTATTTTCGGCTGCCCTGTAAATCTAGTTTGTCGAATGGGTAGTTTATTAAACATTTATTTCCCATAATAGCAGTATTGTTCATTCATTTAAAAATTCTATTTAGTCAAAATTTATTTAATGCACATCTTGATAAATGTTCGCCAGCTTAACAATCATATTAAAGCAATAAATTATTTAATTCGCTTTCAAGTTGTGATGAAACTGGATTATTTATTAGTCTTTAAGTTGTTTTTCATTTGGTTTTAAGGGAAATTAGACATGAATTATACATTTAACAAGTTTTTAAATTTTATTTAACTGAAAAAATACTTATTATTTAATTATAAGTTTTTTAACATTTATTAGATTTTTTTGATTGATTTTAGTAACATATATATTTTTTTATATATTTGGATTTTGCATTCAATATTTATAGAATTATATTTATTATTGTCTAATATTTTGTACTGTTTGTTAGTTTAGTTTTGTGATAGTTGAATATGTGGTACCACAAAGTCTAAACATTTGCTGCGAGTTTTTAAATACATATACTTATGTATAAGCCTGGGGGCTTTTGGGGGCCTGCGATGTGTGTTTTGTTTTTGGCACTGCTCTGGTTCCGCTTGCAATTGGCGCCTGTTGCAAGAACCCGCCGGCCAGAGTCGCTTTATGGCTATGGATACGACTGTATCCATAGCTCTGACTCTGGGTAAATAGGTATATGGCTAACCGAGCTGCAAATTGCCGGCGTCAGGTCGGCTTGGGTAATTTGATATTGGCAACCAGACCAGACCAGACCAGACCGGACTCACTTTCAATGGATTTGCGTCAGTTTGTGTTGCGAATGTTTGTCTTTTGCACCACCGGTGGAAAACGGTGGGTTCTGATGGATTCCTCGGTCATTTTTGACTGTCATCCGGCTATTCTTTTTTCGCCACATGATCCTAACTCGTTTTCTTCTGGTGTCATCGAAACGAGTTATTGGCCAACGTTGGCAGATCGCCTGTAATTATGTTTCCAAACTTTTTGCGCCGGCCGATTGATCAGCAAGAAATTGTTGCCACACATCGTAATCCCCCCTCCCCCCCACACCAAGTCCCCTTCAAAGTCTTCATGGTCAATTCGGCCTCTAGATTGTTTTGTTTATATGTCAAATACCATTTGCTGATGTCATTCACGCCTTTCTTTCCCCTGGAATCTACGAATCTTTCTCCGACGCAGTGTCTCACTTTTCAATCGATTCTGTCGTGTCATGCCAATTTGCAAAATCACCTTTCTTTATGTGTAACGCAAAAGTTAATTCTAATTTGGTAATTTCGAAATCGAGTTTTGTTAAATTTATTACAATTTTTAATGTCACAGAAATGAGAACAAAGTCCTAATTTAAAATGTTGCATTAATATGCGGTTATTGATTTTAGTTGCAGTTTCGATTGTCAATTTATATTTATTTTTATATTTATACAAAAATTACTTTTATTATTTGAATTAGCTTATATTTTTCTGTTGTTCTTAAATTTCTTTAAGATTCTATTATATGAAATCTTAGTAATACTTTTCAAGGTCAAATTCTGTTTTTGAATTTAAATTATTGTTACATTTTTCTGGGTCATATATTTAAATATCGTAAAATGCTGAAGAGTAACTAAAAACCTTGTTTGTCGAAAGGCATAACACCTGATTGACATTTAAAATATATCATTATTATAACTCAAAAACTCAAACATTTTCCGGCATCGTTTTAACCCAATATCGTAAATTGTTACTTTATTAAAGTAATAAATATTTTTATTTTGCTTACTCGTAATGCATAAAGATGATTGCTATTGATAAAAGACATATACTTTTTGATTTCAGTTGAGCAATTTGTCATAGCCATTTAAATGTGATAGCAGCAATTGGGAACTTATGGATGGCTTCCATGGCACTTACAATTAGCAGCCGATAGCTGAAAAGATAATCTCGAATGTGGGAAGAAGAGTCTGGGATTCTCGGGCAAATTAGCAGGTGAACAGTGAGTGGGTCATGCAATTCCCAGAGTCTCGGGCTTCCATCGGATCGGGAATGGGAATCCAAATCCGAATCGGAATCGGAATCACTAAAGCCGCAGTCTCAACGGCATTCGTTCAAAATTAGGCTTGCATTTGGTTTTGAAATTCGGTCTGTGGCTAAAGCACAGATATACGAGCAGCGGCACACAGATACTGACTGATACATAGAGCCCCCGGCTTAGGCCCCCGAACCGCCAGCCCGCTGAGCCGTCGAACCACCCAACCACCGAACCACCGATACACCGATCCACCGAACCACCCAACAACCCAACCACCGAACCACCGAACCGCCGAACCTGAGCGGTCTTCGTATGCTCGGCGGCATTTGGACAATCAGTTGACGTTGAATGTTTCGTCTTGGCGGTCGCTTAATTTAATTCGCTGACGAACGATCCGAGCAATCATCGATCGCCGGAGTTACATCTTTTTGATATATTCGATTTGAATATTTTTTAAATAAATATATTGCATAGAGATATATTCATTTTTTTCTGGTGTTCTTGAGTTTGCATCCTTTGTTCATTGTTCAGTGTGTGTGTGTGTGATTATGTGCCAGAGAACTGCTGGAAATTAGTAGTCATTTATACGTGAGGCAATCAAGGATCCTGGCTCAAGGATGTCGCTGGCCATTTGGACCCTGATCTTGGCTGGCATTGTGGCCTGCAATGGGGTGGTGCAGCCCACCTGCAATCTGAAGGACAACTGCAATTTGGGCGACAACCTGCTGGGCGGAGCAAGTGCCGCCACCGAATCCGGCGATGTAACCGCCGATAAATTGGAGAGCAAAATAGCCTCGATCTTCGAGGATAAGGTTAACTATAGTCTCAAGCTGTTCGCCGATGATGCGACCACCACGATCCTGGAATACCAGACGGCCAATCTCAGTCAACTGCATGCCACACCGCCTGGTAACTACACGCTCCATCAAATGGAACACCAAATGGCCACAGATGATGAGGATCAGGAGGAGGTGGAGGAGGATGAACGGGGTAAGTCAAGTGGCCGATCCATTACCGATCGAACATACACTTTCTCACGCCGCCCACGTCGAGGCCTTGGGCCATGACAACTCTCGACAAGCGATTTCTGCAATTGTAATGCCGTTTTCGATTGACCCACAGCCAGTGGTTCGACGATTGCATAAGAGGCGCGTGCGTCAAATAAAATCAATTGTATGGCGATCGTTGATAAGTTTAGGTAAGATCGTAAGTTTGAGTACCCACGATGACGCACCTTTTGGCCACTTCCGGCTGTAGAGACTCTCCTCACAGCCCATCCCGAAAATCACATTGAAAATCTGCGCTTATCTAATCGACATATCGCCTTTTGTTAACCACTTATTCTTGTTAAAAGTTTTGGCCTTGACTGGCTCTTTATTTTCTTATCCGGTGCAAATATTTGCACTAAAAGTTAGGACCTTTTGGATGATTATTTGGGGATTACCATTCCCACTCCGATATTCGATGGTTCCTTGGAGCGTCTGGCCAAGGCAATGTGCGAAGTCTCACGTAAACGAAACAATTTTATTTTTTTGTATTTAATTGCATTTTGCTCTGCATAATGTGATAAGGTCGAGTCTCACGTAAGCGAACACACAAATTTGGAGGTTTTACCCATATAATTGTTTCAACTGTTATCGCCTTAAATTACAGATGTAATTATTTTAATTGCTAAGCAGCATCTTATTATATTTCAGTGGCTAAGAAGGATTTTTATGTCAAGTGTATATTTGCAACGATGTTTGTATTTTGGCAAAGTTTGTTGTCGTGAAACGCATTTACTTTAAATAATTAATAATAATTGAATAATTATTTTTGGTTTCTTCTTACTATTTGACGAAATATTGTAAATAAATCATACTACTTTATTCGTTTTAATTAATTGTCTTAAATTTAATCAGATTTGTTTTTCCAACTTTTTGTGTTGAATGTCGTATATGTCGATATGCACGTAATACAATCATAATCCTTTTATCGTTTCAATGAAATTGAATTGGCCTGTATTAAAAAATACTTTTTCCAACCTGTTTGTCGAATATCGTAAATAAATTTTAATAGTCAATAAAAGTCATGTATCTAAGTGAATTGAGTGTTGTAATTAGAAGTTATATCCAATATCGTAACGAATATCGTAACGAATATCGTAACCTTAGATTTTCTCACTTTTTCATTGATTACCACCACGATTTCCCAACTTTATCCCAACACACTTCCGCAAGAGCTCTCCACACCCGTTAGTGCGAAACGAATATCGTTTAGAAGCGCCAATTCTGAGTGTTATTGTCCAATGAAGATGTTTTCCTCCCATTCGCGTCGCAGTCGCATAAAAATAAATCCAAGTGGCCCAGCCCAGTCGCTAAACCCAGCTTAAGTGGTTTTTGGTTTCGGTTTTAGGTTTTTTACCCACTTTGTGGCTCGTTTGTTTGTAATTGATCTTCGCCGAGTGCTTGTCGCCGATTTGTTGCTGTTGTGTTTTGTCGCGCCTGCGATGAGTATACCATATGAATATCTCCAACCCATCATCATCATCAGCTATCCATAAGTACGCGACCACTTGACCAGGCCCCAAGTACCGTTAAAGGCTGTCATAAAACGCAAAGCATGTTTCACACTATCCGCCAAAAAAAAAAAAAAAAAAAAATCGCAACAAATTTACCTAATAGTTATGGTGATGGAAATGACAGTGACGATGAGTCGACCGAAAGGTTAAGATATATATTACCCGTTGAGATAACAAGAACTTCGAAACGGTGGCAAATTGGCCAGCTCAACAAGCTGTTTTTCACGGGGCTACGATCGCTCGGTGGCAACCCAATGTTAAACTGCCAATTGACTTGGTAAATATTGACTTTAAAGCCCAGTTAAGCTGAGTTGCGGTGCACCGAACAAAAAGTGTGAGATCAAGTTAGTTACGGTAAATTATTTATCGATCTAACGTTGGGTTTTATGTTTATATGTTTATATGTTGGGGGTCAAAAATGGTTTCTTGTTAGAAATGTTTATATTTAATATAGATTACATGCCTATGGATATTACATTTTTAAAGTTCTATCTAAACTTTTAAATTTAATACGGGATAAATATAAAAATATTATTAATTTCGATGTTGATGTACAATATTTGATATTTCAATTTAATTTAATAAAACTGGATAGTGTAACAAAACATATATTTATATTTTTAATTGCATAAAATATGAAATATTTAATAAACCTTACTTAATGAGTGTTGATCCCGAAATATAATTTTGTTATAAAGTTTTTTTTTTTAAGTATCAATACCACATTTATTTAAAATTGTTTTAAAATTTAATAGTTTATTTAGTACTAATTTTTGTATATAAATATTTAATGCTGTTTCAGGCCGTTTTTCTCTGTGTAAGCTGGGCTAACCGAACTCCTGGGTCGAAGTCGATCGTGAATTCGTTGCAGTAGCCGGCGAAATGTTAACGAGAACAAAGTGACAAGTGCTGATCGATTTGTTTCGATTGTTTCCAGCCAAGGTGCAAATAAATAGATGGATTTTGCGAGATGGGCCGCTGCTAATTGGCAACATGAAATCATGTTGGCAAACAAGCCCGGCCCATTTTGCACTATCAACGCGATCGATGATCGTAAACAAACACGTATTGGTGTATAACTCTAAGCTAAGCAGCCCAGACATTAATGGCCCATTCACCGCCACAGTTGGCCATTACAATCGCTGCGATTCTGGCTGGCCGAAAGAAAAAACCAGATCCGGCAACTAGAATGCAGCGCCAAGGATTGCGTTGGCCAGGAATTGGCCAATATTTTTGCGAGAGTCCAGCTGGCAGTTAGTTGGCTCTGAGCTCAGTTGTTTCAGTTTTGTTCAGTTTTAAGTTAGCAGCACGGCCAAGTGGGTCAGAGACGAATACGAAACGCACACTCAGCCGAGATAGACGGTTAATTAAGCCGCCAACTGGCAGTCAGTTGCCACTTGTGTTGACTTTGCGGTCCAAAGTGCGATTCTTGTTTAACATGGCACTAGCACCACATTCTCTGGCGGCCATTTAGCATATGTCTGAGCCACAATTTCGGCGTTTAGTTGGCATTTTCACTTTTCAACTGCCGTCGAATACTTTTCATTTCATTGTGGCAACAGGAAATTGTCTTGGGTTTTATGGTTCAGTATTTACGATTACACTGGAGTTTTGGAGGTTCATAAACGATTGCAATGCTTAAATGTTCCATTCCCCAAATTTTATTGGTCATAGTTAAGCTTTTTACAAATTCCCAAAATGTATTGCATAATAATTCGTTGGTTGTAACATTTGGCACTATTGGTTTCTTGCAGTTTTTACGATCTTGTTAAATTTGTCTATTTGGTATCTCTTGTAGTTTTTTACGATGTTTTTAAACATGTGCCTCAAAAACAAGAATTAATCATGGATTATATTATGAATCAAATAAAAGGGTCGATAAACAATTATTTTTTATAGTCAAATATTTTTATTTTATATTATTTTATTTTTTTATTTGATCTAATATTATTTTTGAAAATTTTCTCATTTGTTTTATTTTTGGTTAAATAACTTACTTGGCATTTCTGATGTAGTTAAATTATGTAGTTGGTGTAATTGAATAAATTGTTTCCTAGAACATTGGAATTCCGCTCAAGGGAGCTCACCGGCTCACGACATTTACAAACTATCCTAAAGATCTGTTTTGTCATATCAATGTCTCAGAATCTTCATAATTTGCGATGCTAATGAGCGAAGGGAACCGAGTCGGTTGTAAATGTTTCGCACGGCTGCCATTGTTGGTTGGCACATCTTCATGCCGGGACTAACAATTGATCGGAGAGCGGGCGTTGAATTCTCCATTCTTTCCAGCCGGCCAGTTTTTCCAAATTTAGTTTAGACCGTATATATAGAATATGACGACAGGTGGTGGCATTTGGCATTCGGCAGTCAGATCTCGTCGCACTCTGACGCATTTTAGCACTTTGGGGACTGCCCAGTATGCCGACTTCTCCTTTTTGAATCCCCTTTTTGAAGCCCCTTTTTGAAGCCCTCTTAAAGCCCCCTTTAAGCCCCCTTTTCCAGCCCCTTTAAAACCCCCTTTTCTAGTCCCCTTAAACCCCCTTTTCCAGTCCCTTTAAAACCCCCTTTTCTAGTCCCCTTAAACCCCCTTTTCCAGCCCCTTTAAAACCCCTTTCCTACCCCCTTTAAACCCCCTTTTCTACCCCTTTTCTAGCCCCTTTTCTACCCCCTTTAAACCCCCCTTCTACGCCCCAAAAAGACGGATGCAGGCGGCGACTGATGGATCGATGTTCAATGGCTGGAGCCACGCGATCCGCATTCCAAATGAGATCTGCCTAGCATAAAAAGTGGCCAGTTCGGCGACAGTTCCACCATGATAATGAAAATGTTAATCGGTTTGGGGCACAGCTTTGGCATTCTAATTGATGCCGCTTTGGCGACACTCCAAGATCCAGTGGGATGTTCCATTCAATCCATCTACTAGGCAATATTTTTGGCCAGATGGCGGCGCCTCATTGTCCATCTGAGATCTGAATGGATGGCCCGAAAACCCGACTTCCTGTTCTCCACTGCCACGTGCCCAGGAGCCTGACCTTGTCCAATTTGGTGGCCACATGTGCATGTGGACTGCCTTAAAAGGCGTGAATAGCCTGCAGCCGATAAAGGGAACATGATTACCGACCAGTTGTATTTTTAATACTCAACGAATGCCATTTCAAATATATGTATGCAAATTTATAAAATTCCGGTTGAATACACTCGAAAAGTGCACGAAAAACATGCATAAAATAATCGATTTTCAATTATATTTCCAAAATATGAAGTTTTTGATTTGACGAATTAGTTCAATATTATGAACTATAATAATTTTGAAATTAACAAACATTTATTTAATGGTTAATAATTGCCAGTTATGGCTTATGCCAAATTTATTGTAACCCAAATTTTTTAAATGGCTTATGCAAAAAATATTTACATATCGAAAAACTATGCAAAATGGCTTTAAATCATGCATATTCTTTCGTAAGACTCAACAAAAATTACTTTCAATGCTGTTTTTTTGAGATTACGTAAGATAGTTTTATAATAATACAAAATTAATAAACATTAGCGTTGTGATTGCGTTTTCAAAGTAAATTACAAATATCCTTTACTCATTTTGATATACAATTATTTTTTTAAAGCGCATATCAAAAATTGGCATATGTCGAAAAAATAGCACATTCAAAAACGATGATTACGAATACCAATCACTTTTATATGGAGCAATTTTCCGTTTCCGATACATTGTAATTTTGGTTATGATGATTGTTTAAATTATAGCACAAAAGTAACCACTTGGACCCGAGTGCTTTTTCGAGCCGTTAGAAAAGTATTAATATTTGATGATCACGGGTTAGAGTTTGCTTGTAAATATGAATAATAATTTTATGGCTTGTCTGACTTGCAACAACGTTCGCTTATATGGGTTACAGTGAATCACAGGTTGGTTAAACAACAAGTGTTTTTCATTTTAGTATTTATGTGAAATCCAACTTCCTTTCTTTAAGTTTGCCCAATAAATTCCATAACAGAACAACAACATAAATTAGAGCTCCAGTGGTGATTTTGTATATATTTCAATGCAATATTTATAACACACAAATATGGCATCCAAGTGGGCAGCATTGTGCTGAATGAGTGGGCAGAAAAGTTGCAATTCTAGTAGTTTACTTAACTGCCCACTTTAAATAATATCGGAAAATTCAGTAACTGAAGTTTTTTTAATGAATTGTTTTGTACACAAACTAGTTTCTACAATTTAAAATTTAAGAATAGCGTTCTGTTATTTCCTAATTATTTTTGATACATTTTGTATTCGAAGTGTATTTAAAAAATATATATCTTTATAATAAACAATCAAGAGAAAGCTTTAGGCTTTTTTAATTTTAATGCCTGTTTATCTTGGAAAAAATTGAATTCGCTACAATGTAAACACTTAAAATATTAAATTAATGAAATATCTTGCATTTCAGTTTATTTATACAACATTGGCAGGCGTTTTCTGGCGATTACGCAACCATTCGATTCCGCCAGAAATCCGGATGCCTCGTCGCTATGTCGTCGCCAGATGCATCAGTTTCTGAACGCCTTGGACAACTTCGATCTGTGGGCACTGAAGAGTGAGTATACAAAATCTGACTAAAAACAAACTTGAATTGAGAGGTGGTGGGGGCAACTGGCTGGCAAGGCCGCCCCACGACAGCAAACAAATTAGCCAGATCCAGCAGAAGTCCGCTGGGGTTCTAGTTCTGCAAGTGGATAGATGGTTAGACGGTTAGATGGATAGTTGGATTGGTGGAGAGGTGTTTGCCTGATGCTGGACCCATAGAACCATAGAACCGTAGAACCGTATAACCAGTCGGGGGACGTTCGGCTCGAATTCGAGTCATTGCCAACTGGCAACTTGGATGTGACCGCCAGACGAGTCGACATGAATCGAAAGACCCCAAAGTCAAATGCATCAAATGATACAGTTATGGGCAAGAGAATAGTAGTGTAGGAATACAATAACATTGAATGGAATATACCAATTAAAATTAAAAGGTGGATATTTAATGTAATTAAAAATTATATACATTTTGTGGAAATGAACTTATAACTTGTATTGGCTAGCAACCATTAATCCTCTAGTTTCCAAATAAGATGCATACAAAATAAAATTCTTGTAATTTTAAAGAATGCCTAGATTCTTAAAAATATAGTTAAATAAAATAAAATTAAGTATATACGTTTTGGAAATAGTGGTATTATGTGTATAAGCATTATTAAAAAAATGTAACAATAAATTGTAAATCAGTTTAAAGGAATGATAATATTTTTAAAGCACACTGGAACTGTTTTCAACCCATGAAAATTATTTATAGTTACATGAGTTACTGTAGTAAAAAATATTTAAAATAAATTTAGAATTATCTAGGAAATATTTGACTTATATTTTTGACCCGCACTGTGACTGCAGCTGTGTGTGATCTAAAGTGAAGGCCAACCGTCGAACTTTACCCACATTCGCACTCACACTCGCACAACCGAGCATGTGGCAAAGCCAGTTGCATCTAGCGAATTTCCAGCCAAGAGCAGCAAAATTGCAAGCATCAGCGAAAATAGCGATTGCAATTGCAACAGCGAACGCGAACTTGACACAAAAGACCGCAACGTCGACGTCGACTGAGGCTTAGAATCGGAACGAAAAACACTACGAGTTGCGATCACAGTCAAGGTCACCGCCGCCCACCCCCCACCGCCCACCGTCCCACACCCCAACCACCTCCAAATGGAGACCCGAAAGCGAAACGTGAATGGATCACATTTTCAGCTATTCGAGGAATCTCCAATGGAATGAATAAGAAGAATTCTCTAAGGCTAAGATCAAAACATGAATACAGAACTTGACATTTAGAAATTATAATAGGTCTCTTATTTTGAAGATCATATTTGAAGTGATTTTATATGATATGATTATCACGATTAATGTTGAAAATATTTCTTTTATCTTACTTTAAGGCCGGGGAGATTCAATTAATATAAACTGAATAGTTATTAAAACTGTCTGTAGGCTTTAAGACTGATACATAAGAAGTACCAATTTATTTGGATCAAACTACATACTAAATAGTTTAAGTCCTATAGCCACGTACTTAATTAAACAATCAATATTCATGTATTCATAAGATATGTCATCTTTGTTGGGAATTTCTTTTACCTAAGAAATCAATCAACGTTTTCAAGAAAGTCATATAAAAATGCAAATTTCTTCTAAAGTTTATTGACATTAGTTTAATGCTTTTCATCAACAAGATTTTTTCTTTATTTAGTATTAAAACTTAACAACGAATGAGGTGTGGTTAATTTTAAGCGAAATAAAATTGAACTACATTGAAGAAGGGAGAAATTTAATTTGCATTTATAGCAAAGTTTATGGCTGTTTTTAGAAACAAAATAGGAACAATTAAATACAAAGGCGATAGGATACATAAAAGTGGAATACTCCTTTTGTTTAATGATTTTAAAGAAGAAACTTTCGGAGAAATTTAGTATTTTAGGGTCAGTAGATAAAATCTTAAAGTATCAGCATTAAATTATAAATTTACAACATAGGAATTGAATTAAAATTTTTTTTTTTAATCTTTTTAAAATAGTGCATGATGCCAGTGGGAAATTGAACTCCGGAATCTTGAATGGCAATATCAATCAACCCGGCGATTTCGATCAGTGCCTGGGCATTCAGCAGCGGATGAAGGATCAGGATTTGGAGCAGGATCGGGATGAGGACTCCATTATCCGTGGCCAGTATTGCTTGGCCTACGCCCAACCAGTTCTGCCCCACAACTCGAAGCGATTGCAGAGCTTCTTCAAGCTGATTCAATCCCACGGGCCTTTCAAAAGCGAGTTCAATGACGTGAGTATCCAGAGTATCCAGATTTTCAGTTCCTCCAGATCGAGGTTCCTTTAATGGAGCACGTGCCTGAGATGGCAGATCAAGGGAGTAAGCTGAATCACTGGGTCTCATCGAATTTGGTTTACCTGAAAAACAACAGTATTGAGGGAATAAGTAATGGGCAATTTTTTGATTTTTAAAAATTACTTTAGCCTTAGTTTTTTTTATTTGTAAAAGATTTGTTTCCCGTCTTAGTTTAAATCAATGTTTTTGTTTGTGTAAGTGCAAGTTATAATATGGCCAATTAGATTGATTAGCATTGGGCCGCTAAAACGTTCGACTTCGACATTGAACTTGACCAAAGACGAAAAATGCCAAAGCAAAGCAAAATAATCAAAGGCGATAGATGGCCGTAAAATGCAAATCACAAATCACAGCGCAGAAATCGAATCGAAGCTCTCTAAGCGAAGCTCGGCCAGTGAACCCTGAAATCGGATATACAGGGAGAAAAAAAAACCATTTTAATATGAATTGTTTGCTGTGATTTATTCACTTATGTCACCAATAATGTGAATTATGTGTATGTATTTTTGTGATCTGAAATCATTTAGGCAACAATTCGGTCCTGTTCTTGACGTATCGCTTTTATGTCAGTTTAATGTTTTCAATAAAGTGGTGATATATTTTAAAATACTCTTTTTTGATCGTTAAAAAAATGGTATGGAACTTGTACTTTTGTTTTATTTTCTTTAAAGTAATTACAAAATAAATACATTTTTAAAAATAAAGTGTCATATACCAGAAAAAAGCGTACAGGATACACTCAAAAAAAATAACCCATATATTAATTTTAATGGGCGTTATTTTAAAATAATTTGCAGGCAATATTATGGTTTATGTATTAATTAATAATAATATAAAGACTATATTTGGTAGTTTATCTTTTGAGCAGATTATAAATGTTCCGTTTTGTGTTATATTTTTATATCGAAAGATTTTTTTTGATATTTTAAAAATTAATAGTTAATACGTATTCAATATCAATGGTTATGAATTCATTAGTTTCATGCCATTTTTTCGGTGTACATATTTATATACATTATTTTCCTAAACGTTATTTTGTAATGATAAATAATGATTATTCTTAATCCTTTTAATTAATGGAAATAATTAAACTAAAGGAATGAAAATTGTAATATGAATGAATGAAATATGTAATTTACGGTTAAAAAAGTTAATTTTAATTGTAAAAATGCCAGCAAAGTGAATAACCGGATCAAACGCGACCTGGCTTAATTGAATTGCCTTAAGTCTCGCTCAACTAGTCATTGTTTATTGTTTAGCTGTGCTGATTCAGCACTCCATTAACCTGGAGGATGGGACAGCCCGCCTGCGTCATCGACCGATAGCTTATCGCTAACCGAACAATCCGTTCTGATTTGATTTATTCCAGCCCGGTCACCGAGTGCCCCGGTACTCACTGATCAACTGGGGTCTCTGCGTGCCCTCCGGCTGCTCGGCCCGCGATGTGGAGTTCAGTGTGGCGGAGTTCCTGGCCAACCAGACCGCCGCCACGGGCATCACCTTCAATGTCCGCGTGGAGCCGCAGATGTGCCAGGTGCGCGACCAGCGACCCTGGGACCGGAACACCACCTGGGCGGTCCGCTTCTTCGTCCTCGTGCTCTCAGTGGCGATCCTGTCCACCATCTACGATCGATCCACCAAGTCGCAGGCCAAGCAGAGTGAGTTTCTTAATGTTACCGATAGAGTATATCACCTAAATACTAAAGCATTATTTAAATTATTTAATTATACATAAATCAGATAAATAGCTTCATATAAATGTGATATTATCAGTAAAACAATATGTACATTAAAGCGTTTTAAGTTTAAAAAATTATCACTCATACGTAAAGTTGCCTTTGATCAACGGATCGTATAAGTAATTTTTACGAAAACTTTGAGCCTCAAACTTTTAATAATTTTGCTTAAAATATATTCATCGAACACCAAAATCTTCCATATTAAGGTTTTTTACCGCACATGATTAATATTTTCTTTTCTTAATAATATTTCGAACGGTTCCCGCGAAAATTGTCTGAAAAATCCTTTAAGATTAAGATTGGAATCTCTAAAGATTTTTGGTTATGCCTGTTTACAAATTATTTTTAAATCTTATGAAATCACGCGATGTTTCATCCTTAATTTGCTATGAACTTCAATCAAAGCTGTTGATATTTAAACAGAATTTTATAATATGAAATGTGAAAAATGTCAATTCCATTTTCAGACGCCTGGCTCACGGCATTTTCGCTGGACAAGAACCTGCGCTGGCTGTTCAGCACGAGCAGTGCTCCGGGGGACATTGAGGCGGTCCATGGCATTCGGTTTCTGAACGCCATCATGCTGATCTTCTCGCACAAGTCGATGGCCATGTTCTTCAATCCGTACAACAACCGCACGGCCATGTCGGAGAGTCTGGGCCAGCCGTGGACGGTGATTGGACGGGCTGCCTCCCTGTACACGGATCCCTTCCTGCTCTTCAGCGGAATGCTCACTGCCTACTCCCTGTTCGGTCGCCTCATGAAGCAGCAGCCCATTAGGCTCAAGAACGAGTACATCAGTCGGCTGATGAGGTAGGAAAACCATAATTAGTATCAGTTATTTAGTGACTAACATACCCATTTGCAGGATTGTTCCGCCCCTGGCCGCCTTGATCCTGTTCTGCACATATGTGCTGCCCCTGTGGGGCAGTGGACCACAGTGGAACCTCGTGGTGGGCCACCATGCGGACATCTGCAAGAAGAACTGGTGGCGCAACCTGCTCTTTATCCACAACTACTTCGGCTTTAGCGAGATGTGCTTGACGCACACGCACCATCTGGGCATCGACACGGAGCTCTTCGCAGTGGCTCCGCTCCTCATCCTGGGACTCTGGCGGTGGCCACGACGGGGTCTCTTCACCCTGCTGCTCCTCTGCACCGTGGGAACGGCGGCTCGGTACTACACAACGATTGTCAACCAGCTGTCCAACTACATTTATTTTGGCACCAAGTAAGTTGGCAGATAAGAATGGAATTGATTAACCAGTAAGATAGTGTTTTCAAAAGCGAATTATTTAGCACAGTTTGGTTTAAATTGGTTATCTCTTGAAATTGTACATATGTTACCGTAAATTCTTTAGGATAATTATATGAAACTATTTCCGAGTGTGATAAATTTATTTTTACATATATAAATCAGTGTTATAGAACGCAAATTCTTAAGACCAGCTTTGCTTGTGGTTATTTCTTGTTCCTGTTCATATTACAATAAGTAAATTCTTAAGGTAGAAGAGGAAACTAGGAACTAGGTTGAAGCTAGATACATTAAATTGTAATGGTGTATATACATGGTGAAATATCCATTTTGATTGATGATTCATTTAAAATTTTTGATCGAAGGTGATAATAACGTCTTCAAATACACAAATTCATATAGCACCGACTAGACTAGTCTAATCCGCTATTATTTTGTGATATCCGCAGTATCCAACGCCTGTTCCGCACCGCCGACTACATGTACTCGTTCCCGCCCCACCGCTCCACGGTGTACATCATGGGCATCCTGTTGGGCTATGTGCTGCGCAAGTACCAGAACGCCAAGCTGAGCAGCCTGCAGCTGCGACTCGGATGGCTGGTGGCCACCGCCTGTGTCCTGGCCTCGCTCCTGGGACCCGCACCCATGGGGGACATCAACTACGTGTACAACTCCACGCATGCGGCCATATATGCCGCCTTTGCGCCGATCGCCTGGTGCCTGTTCTTCTCCTGGATCGTCTTCGTCTCCCACAATGGATACACAAGTGGGTGTTCGACTGGGTGATCTCTTTGTTCTGCTTCTGCATTACTAATTTTTTGATTTCCTCCGGGAGTAGATAAACTGACGAAGCTGTTCGCCTGGCGCGGTTTCCAGGTGTCCACGAAGCTATCGTACGCCATTTACCTGACGCAGTTCCCCGTGTTCTTCTTTAATGTCGGCCGAAGGCGTCACATTCACCATTACTACAACTTTGTTTCGATTATTGTGAGTATTTATTACAATGGAGGTGGAACTCCTTTTTAGAATTCATCTATTAATGATACTGTTTTACTTACCCCAGCTCGACACCAACGAATTCATATCGATCTTCCTGGCCTCCGTGGCCCTGACAGTGCTCTTCGATGCGCCCTTCCAGAATCTGAAGAAGCTGCTGATCAAGCGACCCTCTGCGAAGGTGGCGAAAAAAGATGATGTTGCAGATTCGAGAACGGAGTCCCAGGATGCGACGACACTAGCCTCAGAGCCCAGCAGCACTGCCCTTAAGCCGCATCCACACTCCGATTAGTCTGCACACAACACAGTCTTTCTTAGCTATAACTTGTAAATGTCTTAGCATTTAGTGGCAATATGTTTAGTAACCCCAGCGATATTCCCAAATCCCGAATCCCAATTCCGTCCATCCAACTCCTCCCCAAAAACGCCCTTAGTTTAAGTGGAACGCTTTATACATTGTAAATTGTACTGTTAGTCAAATCGAGCGACAAATGAGAACCGATTCGTAGTCATAAACCAATCAATCACTGCTTGTTGTACGATATTATCTTGCTTGCTAAACCGGGCTTCGAGAGGCAGTCACTGCTGACCCCAATAAAAATCAACTATATTGGGGTCCCAGCTGAGACTCTCGGAACCCATGTTTCTTAGAATACGTTACCTTAAGCGAGGTCGAATGTCAGTTTTTTTTAATGGTAATTTAAAAAATAAATAACAAATAAATGTTTAAAAACCTTAGTTTTTTTCCTGAATTGATTCCTGAAAGTATGCAATATTCAAATTCAGAACATACAGTCAAGAACCTTTAAAAGCTGTGTACAAAATCCGCTACAGTTTGAGAAGCTTCATTTGGGGATACCTAAAGTTAAGAAAGGTTTAGAGGCACTGAAAGAATATCTCTAAAACTGTGATACCAAAAACTCCACATGTGGCTTAGTTTTCATTCATTGTATTGTTGCCCAAATTCTTTTGTTATTAATACTCCTAACCTTCTTAATGAAAGTACACAACTCTTTTAAGCTAGAGTATCTAATAAAAATGATTATATGGAATAGTTTCTATCAAATCAAAGCAAACAAAATACCTTGTGTACCATAAACCTAATTTGTATTTTGGTAAATATAGTTGTTTTTTGTGAAGGTAATCAATACTAGTTTAGATGTCTGCTAAGATTTCTCAAAGTTAAGGTATTTCTGTTGAAAATGCAAGGAAGTTACAAATCTAAATGGTTTCTATGCTACTTAATCTCTCACATATTGTTTGAAGTTGGTTTTTTAACAAATTCTTTAAACATAGAATTCAATTTGATACTTTGTTGTTTAAAAAAGAATTCAATTTGATACTTTGTTGAATTCATCTGTTTGTGAGGTATCAACAAATATATCTATACATTGCAATGGTTTGTTTTAATAAGGAAACCGTATTTGATACCATTGAATATGGAAATCTAGATAACAAAATCCAAAATAGATTCAACTTTTGTATTCTTTTATGGTTAAATGCACCTGGAAGGAGTATATGATTCATTTTGTTTTAATGCAACATAAGCACATGGGCTGCTGGTAAATATTTGCCTATCTACGTTTTCCCTGAGCCTTTTCTGGCATCACAAGGTAAATGCTAGCTGCCCTATACATATTGTTCCTCATTTACCAAATAAACACAACGTATCACACTTTTTAAGAATCAGAACCTGCGCTTTATGAATAAAAAATGTTTTTGGAGAACTAACATGAACAACAAGGTTAAACAATGGTCAAATATTGTACTTGTCTGATTGAACTGGTTAATAGTTAAAGAATTTCCAACTTGTTCTTTCGAAGAGTTTAAAACTCCTTTTAAAAGCTTTTGTAATTATCATAAAATCAATTATATGCTACAGTTTAGTTATTAAATACATATAAAACGTAGCTTTCGGCTATTATATTTGTACATTACGTTTTGGTGATCTTGTTCATATAAAACAAACCTCCACGCTTCTTTTTTTTGGTTATTGAAGAGCTCCAGGTTCTGATTTTTGATCGGTGATACTTTATGCTTATACAAGCGGTGAATACTATTTTGTGGGTTTAGAGTTTTAAAGCCCTGCAAATATGGATTCTCAGTAAATGCTTACTTCAGAGAAAACCATGCGGAATTAGCTTCTACAATGCATTTTGGCGGTTTCCCCGCTTGCTTTCGCCATTTTTCAGTCACAATAAAAAAAATATCTCGTACCATTTCACTTTTCTTGCACAAACTTTAAAAAAATAGTCACCAAGATTCACTTAATAAAAAAAACGTTCATTTATTAGCGCTCGAGCGATTTATTAGCCGTTTTGGGCCGGTTTTACTGAGGATTTAGATGTTGGATGTTGGTTTTTTTCTCTCCCGCAGATCCGGAGGCTGTCGTTCTGGCAATGTGCTGGTGTACATGTATCCCGAAGGACGACATACGCCGAGCCTACTTGCTGGACTTGGCGGCCTTCTTGGGCTCGGCCTGGGTGCCCTCGCGGAATCCGTTGCGGAAACGGCGACGCACGACCTTCAGGTGCTGCATGCGACCGGTTCCGGTGGTCTTCCTCCTCTTGGCCTTCACCGACCAGTTGTCTAGATGGGTATCAATGCGATTAGTGCTGGATTACGATATATGTATGGGGGGATCAAACTCACAGGAACGCAACTTGGCGGCTGGGTAACCGCACTGGGCGCAGGTCGACTTCTGGATGTGGTAGGAGGAGCGGCCACAGCGACGGCACAAGGTGTGCGTCTTGTTGTGGCGTTTACCAAAGCTGGAGGTACCCTTCGTCTGTAATGTAAACACCAAGTGATTAGAATTTCGGCCTCAGGCAACACTTGAAAACAACCGAAATAAATTCGCCTCGTAATTTATCCCCTTAGCGGTTTGGCCAAGTGTCGAATTCTATGAAATTCGCACTCTTCAAAGCGACCACTCAATAAACGTATTGTTATTTCGCGGAAATTCAGTGGGATGTTTTGGAAATTAGGCGATTTTATTTCGGTTAAACGAGAATTTGCTGCGCACCATCTTGAGCGGCGAACGGTCGAAAAAGAAAGAGGAAGAGCGGTATTGACAGCTGCTGTCACAATATGGCCGCTGCGCAGGGCTGCATTTTTGACAGCAGTGTGACCGCAGAGGAATATACCGTCTGTGGTTGAAGAATAAATTAATTTATTTCAGTTTCCAACCAATGGTCTACATGGCCATCACTGCTTTTCTAACAGTAGCAGATTGGCGGCAGAGGCCAAATCAGCTTTCTCTGATGGAAAAACGTCGATTCTTAATATTTTTATTGAATTAGAAGCGAAATCGAGAGAAGGAGGGCAATTAGTGTAACAGCGCAAAATATACTGTAAATACCAATTTTTAATATACCATCAATTTGTCCAAGTTCCCAACCATCAGAGTTGCCCTTTTCGGAAACTGGCACTGCTGTCACTGTTAAGATTACGCTGTTAGGGGAATGCAGTTAACAGCAGGGATGTCAAATCTGGCTTTTTTCTTAGGGGACAATAAATACGGCTTTAAAAACCAAAAATAAATAAATAAATAAGAATTCAATATAATTTGAAGGCATATAAACAAATTTTCGAGACTTCCAGACATCCGACTTCGATTGGAAAAATTGCTTTGCAGACAAGTTACCTAAAACCTGCACTTTTAAGCCCATAACTCTTCTAATTTAAACCCGATTTTGCAGTGGCTACCTCTAAAATCCTGTGGTTTAATTTTATGACCCCTTTTCAAATTTTCGAAAAATGGGTTTACGGAAAAGTGTCCAAAATCTGCACTTCTGAGCTCATAACTTTTCTTACAGACATCCGATTTCGAAGTGGCATACCTCAAAATGATTGTGGTTTGATTCCCTAAAAATCTGTGTTTTTAGTTAAATTTTTTTTTTTTGGTCGATTTTTCGTCATTTTCAATGATGTTACCCCTTTCCAAATTTTCGAAAAATGGCTTCGCAGAAAAGTTACCCATAACCTGCACTGTTAAGGGGTTATCCGGGTCTTGGAGCACGAAAAAAAGCCTATTTTCGTGAATTTTTTTTAAAGATCTTACGACAGTTTCACAAATTTCATTTATTGTACATTAATGGTTATGGTTTGACCAACATTGTGTAAAAATTTGAACCAAAAATTTTTAAAATTGAGCCGTTGAGGCAGGCTTGAACTTGACCTCATAAAAAATTGTGTCCTTGCGGTAGGCAAAATATCTCCGCCAATTTTTATCTGAAATCAAAAAACCAAAATTATTCTGATAGTGTATGTGTTTCGCTTGTCCTCTACGAACCATTTTTTTTTTAATTAAAAATTGAATTTTTTGTAGCGCTTTTCATAAAAAGTGTAATTTTTTACGTAAATTTTGGCCATATTTTGGCTTATAAAATGAGTTGTAATAAAAAATTTAAAAAATCCCTCCGTTAAGGACAAGAGAATTATGTCTAAAAGAAGTGTGCAAAAGCAGAAGTTGATCGGTGCAATAGTTTTTGAGAAATCGTGACTACCGACTTCAAAAAAGTGGTTTTGAGAAAAACGCGTTTAAAGTGCCGCATCTGCCCGACGCCAGAGCCCGAATGGCCCGTTGTGACGTTCGACGAGCTGGGCCTTAAATTTCTCCCATTCCTACAGTTTTGCTTCGATCGACTTGAAATTTTCAGACAACATTCCTGAAACTTTGTACTATTATATAAAAAAATTTGAAAAAAATGAATTTTTTGAAGTGTCAAGACCCGGATAACCCCTTAAGCCCATAACTTTTCGTACATACGTCCGATTTCAAAGCGTTTGTGGCTTTTATTAATATTATGATTCCCTTAAACTTTACATGAGCACTTAACCAAAAATTAAATTCTTGAAATAATGATAATTGACTTTGCAAATATTATTATTTATTATTACTAATATTTTTATCTGCATTTCAAAAATAAACTTAGATTATAACAAATTATGCGCTTAACAGCACTTTTTACTTCTGCTAACGGTAACAGTGGTTCTTTTAACAGAAGTCGAAAATGCAAAGATGGCAGTTGTTTTATCTGCCAACGGATGGCGCTCCACAATTTCCCGCCGATTAAAAATTCAAAAAGCCTCCAGATGAAAAGTATTGCACTAAAAACCATCTTTATAATATATTTAAGATTTATTGATAAAATATTCAAAGCTGGTTAAAAAATCTTTTTGATTTAGCACATATTTATTGAAAATATCTACCGATGCCACCCATGCATTTAGGTTTTTACATTTTTTTGTTTTTTATAATCGTATGTTATAAAATATGTCCTACAGTTCGATGATAGATCAAAAATAAATGTTATTTACAATAAACAATGTTTGTAGTCGAGGTAGTACTTCATTCCAACGAAAGTTTCGATTCAAAACTGAAGATACTCAAAAAAATAATCGCCGATTATTTTTTTGGTGAAGAGGTTTTGGTCGGGCTTTTTCTTGGTCGCATCGGAATCCATGGCTTCGGAAGAACTCATATTAATGAGGCTCCTCTCTCCCATTTTTTTTAAGGGTCATGAAGGCTTAAGATTCGGATTTGAAAAATCATTGAGCAGCGTTTTCGCTGCAGTTTTACAATCGCAATGGGGGAGTTCCCAAACAGGACTTGGGATTTTACATTTCTGCCCCTTGAGGAATCGCAGTTCCGTCCAAAATCCATTGCATCGCACAAGACCAATACCAGCTCTATATCCGCAAGTAAACACAGTAGTTCATCAGGACGTAGAAGGAGGGCCAACCACGATGATAAAAAATCTGCATCGCGAAGGATGAGGATTGGTCCAGGTGGTAGTGCTTCCCAGTGCCCGAAAAGGCCCTCAATGACTACAGAAGATTTCGACTATGACGAAAGGAGGATTTCAATTAAAGAGCCGTGCCATCACTGTAAGAAAATTTAATGATGTTAGTTGGTTACCAATTTTTGGACTTAGTCGATTGCACTCCATACCAAAAGTAAAATCTGGGAAAGTTGTAAAAATTTATACAGAAAATTGTGAAGTATCTTGTGCGAAGTCTGGATTGTAACAAAAAATATAGACAGGTTGATAACTAGAGAAAAGCAATTTGATCAATATTTTACAGATAAAATCGGTAAGGGTATTATTTCAAGGAGTTCTTTATTACATATATATACTCTTTTATAAATAGTTATTATTAAGAATTTGAAATGGTATTAAATACTTCTGTTTCGCCCCAAAAATAAAATGAAGACAAACTTTTTTAGTAAAAATATTCATTGTTTTATTTATGAAATAAATTATTATTATTTACATTGGAAATAATGCACGAAATTCAAATAATATTGCATACTAAGCGGTATTTTAGCACTGGACCGCTCGACGAATACACACTCGAGAACAAAATCTACAAATTACAAGACTCTAGAAATACAAATACAGGGCGATACACATATATGTATAAAGGTATGTAGGTTAAAAAAAATAATGGAATGGTGCAGCTTGGTGCGGGTTAATTATATTATATTCTTCAGATGCTGTGCAGATTTTTATACTGTAAGTTCTGTGGCACGCGTACTACGATTTCATTATTATCGGTTGCGATTGATAGGTGATTTAAATGTGGATTTATCTTGGGGGGAAATGGATGTGGGTGGTTCTATCTAGTGTTAATGTTTACGTAACTAATTTGCGACTATGAGCAAGTCGATTTGGCTTGAGACCTCAAACGAAACCAAGTTGCACATAATTTGGCTGCAGCTTTGATCTGCTTGCTGGGTGAGGGGGGTAGGTGAGAGGGTAAAGGGGAAAGGGGCGACGGGTGGAGGGGTTTTGGGGTGGATGTGGGTGCTGGTGCCTTGCAACTAATTACTACGCCTCGACTTTTTGCCCTGTTCACGCCTTTACATACAACTAATTCATAGAGACAATTTAACTAAGAACCTTACGAAAGCTTTGCGAATAAGTTATACGAGTTCGGACCAAATCTGAGCACGAGTGCACATTATACATATGGAGGGGCTTCCCCGCAGCCCTGGAGCTTTAAAAACCATACAATTTAAACTGATACTTGGTGCTTTTATGTCTCTAACTAAATCTTTCAGTAATATTTAAAAATATTGTGAAATTTTAGACATTCTTATGGGTGATTTAGGGTCACCATAGATAGGGCTACAAAAACAGAACACAAGAGAAAGAAAATTAAAAAAAAAAGAATAAGTGATTATAAATCACTATATACTTTTATAGTTTTAACCATGAAATAAAAAAATATTACATTTTGGAGTCACAAACCTAATATCTCTAGATATTTCTTTAAGCTATGGTTCTTAAATCTCCAGAGGCCCCAGTATTTTGCCCCGAATAAATGTCGCATACGAGTATAGCTAAGTATTGACTTGCAAGTTAAAGGATCTCTTGCGCTGCTTTTCGCTATGAACAGAAAAGTCTCCTCCACAATTTGCCGAACCCTTTTCTCGATCTTACATAACTAAAGCGCGAAAAAAAACTGTTGCTAAAATTAAACAAAAAACGTTTCGTTGTTGCGCTCGCTGCAGCTTTCAGATTGCGATTCCTTAATACGAATCTGAATCCGAATCCGATTCCTACGCCGACTGCTGGCCTCGACTCTCGTTTTGGCTACTGCCGCTCCACGTTGATGGTGATGACCATGGTTGGTCAATAGTGGCCGCCACCACCGCCTCCGCCGCCACCACCTCCTCCACCGCCGCCGCCGCCACTATGTCGGTGGTGGTCGCGCCTGCCGGAGGACTGATCCCGGTCGCGGTAGTCGCCGTTGCGCGAGCTGCTCTTGTGGTGGTGGTGGTGGTGGCGCTTCTTCTCGCCCTTGAGGCACACGTCCGACACCACCGAGGACACCACCATCTCGGAGTCATCCCGCATGCCGTAGTTGTCCCTGCCGCATCTGTTTGGTAAGAGGAGAAAGGAGAGGTTAGAAATGGTTTCTATCCGGGGTTTCTACTCGTCATCTCTGGGAGCATTTCAAATCTCTCAATTTTACAACATTTTGACTTCTTTGACTAAATCACTTCAAGTATTTCATAAACCCTACAAAAGAAATCATTTTACTCAATACAATAATTAATATATAAAAAAAAGGGATGCCCCTTAACTATTTTATTTTGAAATTTAAAAATGTTGAAAATAAGTTAAAATATAGGTATTGCTATATTTTTGTTTGTAATTTGGAAACTCTTATTTATGAAATCTTAAATATGTAATTTTTAATATTAAAAGCACCCCAATTTAAGTTGTGATTTTGGTTGTATTCTTTAAATATTTTCTAATTTTTGAGATTTCAATGACACCTTTTGATGATTTCATTATAAAGGTAACCCACCTGTCGAGATTTTCGCGGGAGCGCTGCATGTTGTCGCGCAGATTGTCGCGGGATCGGGTCATGCTGGGCGGATCGAGGGTCTCCTTGCGGCGCAGAGCGTTGTGCGAGCTGTTCTTCGAGGCGGACTCGTGCAGGTTCTCCCAGGCTTGGCGGTAGTACCTACGGAAAGAAATATTGTTATATTACTACGGAGTCTTCATTTAAAAAAAGTGTATTTATTTAACTCCAGGAACTTAAAGATGTTATTTACATAATTATATATCAAGTTTTACATACAAATGTGCTAATAACTACAGTTTTTCAAAAAAAAAAAAAAGGTATTGTAAAAAAATGATATTTCATTGCATATATTTAGACCTATATTAATTTGCTGGTTGAATTTGGTAAGCTGATATAAGAAAAAGTCTCTTAGCAATGATTTATTAAAAAAAAACTTTTTATAGTTGGATTTATTTTAAAAGAAGACTTTTTTTCTGCATACTATTAGACACCTTTATAAGTGATTTCGAAACTCTAGTGATTTCGAAACTGTAGTGATTTCGAAACTCTAGAGATTTCGAAAATTTCAAAATCCTTATGATTTCAATAACACCCCCTATATATTTCTTAAATAAAAAACCTGTTATTCAGTATAGACTTATTTAAGCTAAGGACCCACCTGTTGAGTCCATTGCGTGATCCTGAGGTGGAGCTGTCGAAGCTGGCCACAGTGTTGCAGTCGGGTGAGGCGCGATGGCGATAGTGTTGCGTGGTTCGATTTCTGGGGATGGCAAAGAAATAGACCCATTAGTAAGTCTTTTCACTTTTTCGTGGTAATGCTGAATGCCAGGACGAAATAGTGTTGGGTTAGTCACAAGTTCAGGCGATAAAACCGGGTTAAAAACGGAGAGCTACGCACACAAAGACAGAGACAGAGAGAGATGAATGGAGAGAGACGGATAGAGGGGGAGCAAAAGAGACAGGCAGGCAAAAAAAGACAGAGACAGCGATCCAGGCGTGCAGTGTGTGTGTGTGTGTTGCTGTGTGCGTGTGAAAGAGAGTCCCGATCTGTGTGTGTGTGTGTGTGTGTGGGTGGTAAATGCTTTGATTGACTGATTGATGGAGGTGCAACAGCAAGGAGTAGGTGGAATATCGCCTCACAGCCCACAGCATTCGCAGCTTTTAGCAGTTTTCAGGTTTTTGGTTTTTTTTTTTGGTGTTTCAGTGTTGCTTGTTTGATTGACTGACTGACTGTCTGATTGATTGTTGTTTCGTGTGGTGTTGTTTGGTTGATTGACTGATTGATATAAATGTTGTTTGCTTTTGGGCTGCTTACATTTGTGCATATGGCCGCTTTGATTGTTCTTGCTCATAAGTTTTGTTCGTTTCGTTAGCTTAATTTCGTTTTGTCTTGCATCTTTGGCACGTTTTCAGTTAGCTAGTGGTGCTCCAGGTAGTAGCAGGTCTCTTTGGCTTGTTTCGTTATACTCTTTTGGGGATGGCCACACCACCCACTACATGTGGGTGCTGCTGAAGAGTCCGGCCCGTGCGCGATAGCCACGCCCATAGCTGCTGAACTCCCGCCGCCCCAGCTTCTGGTCGTCAAAGGGCAGGGCCAGTACGTTGTACCACAGGGATGAGGGCGCTGCCACCAGGCCACCACCGCTGCCCGATCCGATGCTGCCATAGTCCGTGGCGCCACCACCACCACCAGCTGCTCCTGCACCTGCACCACTAGAGCCACCCGGGAATAGCTGAGCTAGTTGGGCGGTGGAGGCGTAGCTGGTGGCACTGGTGGCCGTCGCCGTGGCATAGCTGGGCAGTCGACTGGGCCGCGGTATTCCGATCCCGATCCCGATCCCCATCCCCATCCCGATTCCCTGGGCTTTCTTCGGCTGGCAGTTTGGTTGGTTCTGGTACTTCTGGTACTTCTGCTGACTTTGCTGCTGGTACTTCTGGTGGTACTTCTTCTGTTGCTGCTGCTGTTGCTGCTGTTGCTGTTGCTGCTGCTGCTGGAACTGCTGCTGCATCTGCTGGTGGTGGTGATGATGAGCATGATGATGTTGGTAAGCGGTTAAGTGTTTGGCTAGGTGCCGCCGTTGGCTGTTCGGGGTGCTGGCGAATGGTTTTGCCCAAAAGACAGAGAGTGGGAGAAGCAAAAACGAAAAAAGAGAGTTGTACAACGAGAAAGAGAAAGCTTTCGATGTTCAGGAGTGTGTATGTGTGTGGTGTGCATGTGTGTGTGCATGAGAGACTCTCTTTTTAAGCCAAAAAGTGTGATAGATTTTAAATTCCGGGGTTACGTTACTGAAAACCAAAAAAAAACACAACCCTTCCAAAGTTGGGGACTCAGCGGAGAAAGAGAGGGGGTGAGACAAGGGGCAGAGCGAGACGGAGACAGCGTGTGTGTGAGCTAGAGAGATGGGGAGAGAGAGAGGGAGAAAGGGACGGGGGGTGGCTGGGCAAGTGATGGTGACCCCGACAACGATCGACTTTCCTCCACACAGAACAAATTAATTGATATGAAATTACGGTCAATCTGATCTTATTCAAATTTATATCGTTCCCCCTTTTGCCCAAGTCCACTGAGCAGTATGTAATATTCTTTACGGCCTAAGAACTTTAAAGTCAAAAGATTGAATTTTAAAATGTCCATATAAATGTATATATATATAACATACATTAATATACATATGCAAGAAATTAATATGCAGATCTTAGTATTTAAGAATTCACAAAGCCATTATATATTCAGTAGTCCCAATCAATTTCAATTTGTATGTCAAATTATAAATAAATTCCATTGAGCAAATTGTTTAGTCTTAGTTTTCTCCGTTCTGTGAATTGTTTTACCTAGATATAAAATATAATTAAATAATTTAACTAATTCTAACACCTCTGCTAAGTCAAGGTATTTTAAATGCATTTTTAGAGTTTTACTTTAACAACACAAATATTCCTATTTTGCTAAGAAAATATAGTTTGTCAATAAGTTGGGTCCTAAACGATATAAAAGAACATATACATCTCTATTATGAGCCTATTAAATTGTACAAAAAAATATATAGCATTTGTAAAAATATAACCAGGATTGCAGTGTTGAGATCTAGTTCGAATTAGTATGATTGATCTGGGTGGAAGACCACATTGACCTCGAACATATCGGATTGATCACTGATCCCATTCATTTTTCTGTGCCAATTTTGCCGGCCGGCAGACTCACCTTCGCACAAGGATCACGATCGTGGTGATGACGGCGGCCAGGAAGACGAAGCCACCAAAAGCGCCCAGAGCCACGATGGCGCCCAGATTGAGTTTGGCCTCCTTGGTCTCCTTGCGGTCGGGATTGTCGACGGCGAAGGGCACGTTGACATTGGGCGACTGGTTCTGCTGAATGTTGACGCTGTCGGGGATCTCGTTGTCCTGCGGATGCGAGTTGGCGATGATCTGCTGCGTGTTCCGGGTGGTGCTCTCCACTCCGCCGCTCCCTGATGATCCGCTCGGGACTCGGGTGCGGGGTGGTGTGGGTGCATATGTGGAGGGTGGCTGCGGTGGCACCTGGTGGGTGGTGGGCGGCAAGGCCGCTGGCGTGCTGCTCGGCTTCTTCGGAATGAGCACGGGACGGACGGTGCGGCGGGGCGGGAACTCCTCGCGAACGGTTCCCGGCACTGGTGGCACATTGATGTCCTCCTCGGACTCAGCTGGAAATATGGAAGACCAATAAGTTGCAAGTCGGTATGTCAAATTAAATCAAAACTAATATAACATTATTGGGTCTTAATGAGGTATTACAAGTTTAGGGTTTTCAAAATAAATTGAAATAATTCGGGTTAGTTATTTCAGATTTGCCTTACATTTTGTACTTTTTAATGTGTATTTTTTTAAAATTTTTAAAATTTTTGAAAAGCCATGAAAATACAAAATATAATACATCGAATGAATCTATAAATTAATCATATATGAAATCAACGATGATTATTTTAAGAATATAGGATCAAATTAATATCTTAATAGTCATTAAAATATTTGTCATTACAGGAAATAGCTTCCAAATACGTTTTAAATTTGATGTAGTTCCAAAATGATCTTATAAACTATAAAATATCTGGAGATAAGATACTTTTCTGTCATTATTTACTGTAAGTGATTTGCAAAGCCATAACAAAAAGGCCATTTCGTGACCGTTTTGAAAAGCGCATTTGCATGCAACAAAAGTGTTGCCTGGAAATGTGACCCTCGAACCCAGGAGGTAAGCCCAGTGCCTTGCCCTCTACTCACATTCGCCGTTGATCTCCACCTGCGTGGGACTGAGGCTCGGGTACGTGCCCACTGTGCTGGTGGAACTGCCGCTGATTCCGCTGCTCGCTGTGGAGACGGCCGGGCGGTAGGGGGTGCGGCTGGTGGTGGAACTCTGGACGACGACCTTGGGCCGGAAGGGCGGAGACGGGGCCGGGGGCGTGGCCACCGACGAGGGCACAGGGACGGTGGGCGCAGCCGTGGGCTGAGTGGACGGCTCCAACTTGATGCAGCGCGGCAGGGCACTGCTCCACTGGCCACTGGCCAAGCAACTGAGCACTCGCGGTCCCTCCATGCGATATCCCGGCGGACAACTGATCTCCGCCTTGGATCCGTAGTACGTGCCATTGGGCGCATGGATAATGGTGCTGTAGTAATTGCCCGGCAGTGTGTCGCACTCCACAACTAAGTGATATGGATGATAAGGATTAGCATTTGGGAGTCAGTGGATCAATCATGTATACTCACTCTCGCAGCGGGGCGGTGGTCCATTCCAGCGCTCATCGAAGTCGCAGGTCAGCAGGGCGCGTCCTATCATCTCGTATCCTTCCTCGCAGGAGTACTTCACCAGGCTCAAGTAGCCCACCGTGTTGTTCAGCAGACCATAGGAACCATGGGCAATGCTGGCCGGAAGACCACATTCGATATCTACAAAAGGATTACCCATTAATTACCATGTCCTAGGAATAACACTCTAAAGATGGTTGTAAACGATTCAGCATACCACATGCGAGGCATACCACAATCTATTAACTATTAAGAGTATTACATTTTTTTTTTTTACTTCTGACTAAAACTTTGTTAAATGTGTAGATTAATGAGTACAAAATATCCCAATATAGGTTACTAAGCTCGTAATAATAAAACTAGTAATCGAAACAGAAGAATTGTATGAAATATTGGCATTAAAGCTTTTGTTAATATTGTTAATATTTGATAAAAAAGGATATTTTAAATCGAAAAATCAAAAGTTGTGAATTATTTTTTTTTGGTTTTTTTTTTTTTTTTTGGTCAGTGTTAGATTGAAAACGTTTTTGTTCACTGCTATAAGTGAGCCCTGCATTTAGTTGAGACAATTGAAAGTTTTATGCTAATTTCTTAAGATCATTTCTGATTTGTTTAAATTGCCCAGTTCATTTCACAAAAAAAAAAAAAAAAAAAAAATTTCTTAAGGCTTTAAATCCAATTTGCAGCTGCCTACTTTTGGGGGACCTTTTTAAGTAGCTTACAAACTCTAGAGCGGCTGCACCGTTTACAAGCTTAAATATTCTTGCTACTCACACTTGCACACCGGCGGGAACTCGTTGTAGAAGCCCGTCTCCAGACAAGTCCGCGTGGCCGGACCCACCAGCAGGTGGTTGGCATCGCAGCTGTACTTGATCTGGGCGCCCACCTCGAATCCGTTCAAGGCCACCATCGTCGAGTTGGGCGGCTGCTCCGGCCGTCCGCAGGTCTTCGGCTGGTGCTGGCATATAAAGTTGAGCAGCGTGTTGCAGTTGGTGTCGCTCCACAGCCATCCCTTGGAGCCATCGAACCGGGCGCAGTCCTCGTCGCCACCCGGATGACTCCAGAAGGAGACGGTCAGCTCGTCGCCGTTCACCCACTTCCAGCTGCTCCGATCGCTGCCATCCCGCACCGCTCCCATCCAGTATTGCGAGCTGACGTCACTGCGGTGACGTCGCCACAGCTCCCAACTGATGAAGCCCTGCAGCGCCGGATTGCTTTCGCTGATGAGGGTCCCACCGCGGGATCGGCAGAAGGAGAGGGCGTCCAGGAAGTTCAGCGGCTGGCGGTTGTAGAAGATGTAGCACTTGCCGTTGTACGAGGCCAATGCCCCCGGCGGCTGATCGCGGAACGTCGGACACCGCTCGATGGGCAGCGCCTGGTCCGTGTAGACGAACGCCTCGCAAATGGACAGCGGATTGGGCGTGCTGTTCTCCAGGTGGACACTCACAAAGGCGCCCGGCATGGGCGGATTGCAGGGCAGGAAGAGAGGCTGGCCGGCCTCCAGGAGACCCGTGAATCGGTTGCAGATCGGATTCGTGCCCAAGTCCGGTCGGTTGTTGCCCACTCGCACCACGATCGTGGCCGGCTTGTTGCCTGCAAATGGGTGATCAAGGTTATTAAGTAATACATAAATAAAGATATCAATTTAAGCCAACCCTAATCTAAGACCCTACTTAATTTTATAAATAACTTTTCAATTAAGAACTTACTATTTCTTAACACATTGAACCATTCTTTAATGTTTTAAGCATCAATTTATGATATTTTTGTTTTGAGTTCTTTAAATTTAGTTTTTATTTAAAACACAAATTTTAATAAATATTTAAGCATTTAAGAACGTCATAAGAACCTAAATATTTGAAAACTCATACGCAGCCATATTTAATTAAATAGCTTCCATAGCTTACAAATTTAATTCTCTATACAATATAAAGTAGGTAAATATCTTTATATATATTTATGTTTTTAAAAGCGAAACAAAGATATTTTCAATTTTTAAAAACGTAAAGTGATCTACCAATTTGTAACAATTAATTATTGAATTTTAAGTATCACAAAATTGCAGTTAAATAATCTGTTTTTTTTTGTTTGGCTTAGTCGTAATACCCAAATAAGCTATTTTATTTTTTATTTGGCACATTCGATTGATCGTAGTTTCTCGAAGTGTAAAACTGCAGCTTCAGCTATTTCTATTGGTATTCCTGTTGTCACTATTATTGTTATGGCTTTGTCTGTCAGCGGGTCAGGCGGGTTCAGTTGAGTTCAGTTCAGTTTGGCTTGAGCCGCAGATTCAGCTTCATCTTCAGCCGCAGCTTCAGTTTTAGCCTCAGCCTCAGCCAAGTGAAAGTAATCATAAATTTCGGGCCGCACTGACTGACTCACTGGGTCTGGGTTTCTTGGGATCGGAGATGGAGATGGTGATGGTGACCGAGTCGAAGTCGAAGTGGAAGTCGCTGTCGTCGCCAGAGCCGCACGAAAATCACATAACCAGCCGCCGATTCGAAGATCCGAAGATCCGAGGAGATGGAGATGGGGGACTTCAGGTTGCTGGCAAGTGAAAGCATTAGGGAAAACTGGCTGGCAGTTGTTTGCTTTCGGCGGCAACCCTTTTCAAACAAAGACGGTGGGGGAGAAGATCGTGCAGCATTTGCCATTTTGTTGGCAGAGGTTTTGCTGCAAAAACCTGGCCGACTGGCAGGCTGGCAGCCTGGGAAAACGGGGCATTGAACTGTCCACCGGGCGAGAGAGTTTCGTCCACATCCACATCCACATCCACATCCACATCCACATCCACATCCACATCCACATCCACATCCACATCCACAGAATGCGGTCCGAGCAGGTCTATTATACGGCTTTATCGCCGCTATATGTTTGCGACAGGTTTAGGGTTGGGCCGCCGTCGCGATAATGGTCGACTGCGGTTTAATAAAGGCGAAAAGTTGCTCAATTTAATCAATTTACCCGAGGATTACCACGAGCTAAGCGCCATTTACGTGATATTTTTCTTATTTGTCGACTTGAGTTGCCACAAATTATGGTACACAAGCTAGGGAATAATTTTCGAATTAATTGTGGTATTTTATTTATTCACTTTCCATTTCCTATTTTGTTTTTTGGCAAATTGTATATTATACAAAAAACTTAAGAGCTCTACTCTTGAGGTAATAAAAAGGAGTTTATTCGAATAATTTAATATTAAGCTAATCTATGACAAAGGTAAAGCTATTTACCATTTCTATCAGGGCTGCATATTTAATTATACCCCTTACTCGTATAAATGCTGTATTGCAATCTTTATATTCTTCTATATCTATTTTTTGTAATATTTTTTTAATTACAAATATTGTTGTATACTCCATATTATGTATTATACTTGAACTCACCGCAGCAGGACTTGCCGAAGTCCAGGCGCACCAGTTGCACCATGTAGGGTTCCAGGAGGTTGACATACCACCAGGGGGATCGCTCCGCCTTGGTCAGCGAACAGGTCTCCGGAGTGAAGAAGGCGGACGTGGAACCATCGATGGCCTTTTGGGGGGCACCGGCGCCATCAGTTGAAATCTGCATGGGCGCTTTGCCAGCAGCAACATTCAGAACTGTAGGTAAATTAACAAATCATTTATTAATTTAATTGCTATTAAAATGACAATTATGTGTTGATTGACACATAATACGATGTAACAAAATAACCGAGTTGAAAAAACGCATGCAACATTTTCTAATATTTTCGCATTCAGCACGGTCCACATTTCAATAATTTCAATAATTCAATTTCAATAATAAAATTTCTAATTAGAACCTTTGGAATGTTGAAGGTACGATCGATTTTTCTTTAATCAGATAATTCTTTAAATGAACTATTATAATTTTAATTGTTTTGATATTTATAAATTGTCATTAACTTATTCTACTGTTGCATTTGAATTAGAAAAATGCAATGAAATACATATATTTTCCATGTCAACTCTAGTATAGTCTATGTATATATTTTATGCTAAGTGCAGAGATAAGGGTCAAAGGTAATTGTTTGGGAATTCAAGGCGCAATGCGGCGATGAAGATCAGTCGTGGGCTGATTTTCCAGCGATTCGTTTGTCCGTCAGTTGGCGTCGGATTCAGTTGGTCCGAGGGCCGAAGTGCCGGATCGCCGGAGTGCCAGAGTTCCCAGAGTGGGCCCAAGGCCCGGCTAATTGGCCGCGGGCCCTGACACGGTTTGTGGCCAAAAAAAAAAAAAAAAAACCGATAAAGCAAAACAAAACAAAACAAAGCCAAGACAACTCAGAAAGGCAAACATAACCCAACAATGTTCTGCCTGGCGAATTTGTCAAGAGACCTTCGTTCTGGCCCGGACCATTGTTTATTTTTTATTTTTGGACAGCGGAGATTTTCGCTGGCCAAAAAAAGCTAAGGCAAAAGCAAAAGTGAAATTTAATGTCGGCTCAACTTTTACTTGCTCACCTGGCCGGGGCTTAATTACATCGCTCGCCACGCACTTCTGCGGCATTGGGATTCATTAATCAGATGCATCTGTCGGATAAGACGGGTTTGGATCCGAGTTTTGAGCTCAACGGCTTGGAAACGCTTGACGGCTGCTTTCCAACCTCTAACCCCACCCCCCCCCCCCCACACACACACACACACATACACTCTCTAAGACCCCAGCTTTTCTCGCTGTGTATCAGCAGGTGTTGCCTTGCCGGTGTGACAAATGCCTTTTAATTGCTTTTAATTAATTTCCAATTGCCTGCCTGCTGTGTCATGTCGTATTCGAATTCGAATTCCAAAACTTGGCCTACAGATCCACAAACAAAAAAATACCGATTTTCAGGTCGGTAATCTCGGCTTTGTTTTCCTTTTCTTTTCTTTTATTTTTCAGCGTCATCAACTTGCAATTAGCAGTGACTGCAGGGGGTTGCAGGGCTAAACAGCAGCTATATGTCTACAAATCTCACGATTTGATCGAGTCCGTATCAAGGAATTTTAAGGGAATATTAATGAATCCACGCAGAGAGGAAATAATTAACATCAAATGGGGTCAGCCCATGGAAAATACTGTACTTTATAACTAAAAATGCATTTTAATTTGATATGACTTTCATTATTGAAGTTATTTAGATTATAAACGCTTTTTGAAAAACACAAAGTGAGCTACGGATTGTTTAGAAGCTATTAACAAAAATTTCGATTTGATTGCTTTTTTTTTAGGAAAATAATTTTACAAATGTGTGTGAACAATTTCTGTTATAAATATTAAACTAAATTTACTTCGAAATTGTGGTCCAATAATTTAGATTTGATATTTTGTTGGGCTTAGGTCATCTATTTAAAAAGTCTTTTTCCCTTTATTTCTTTGAATCCCTTTAAAGCATCATTAAGTACTCGTTAAGTATTTTTAAAAACTCCCCAGATTTTCTCAGGCTTTATCAACGCATATCAACACCTACTACTGCCTCAATCGATCGACTTATCCATGTGATCTCCCAACAAAAGCCCCGTCGAAAGTTTGATGGATCGTTGAAGTGCCGCCTTTTTTTTTTTTGAGAACTATTTTACGCCCCCCAATCGATCAATTCATTCATCGAATTCCAGTATTCATTGATTATAAAACTATTTCCCCGCCGCTCTGATTGTGTCAATCAATTCGGTTTTTGTTTGTCTCGGCTCACGGAAGTGCATGTCTAGTTGGAAATCCATTTAGAATATTTGTTTATTTTCGTGCCCGCCTCATTTTACTCGTGTTCGTGTTTCGTGTCTGTTGGCTTCAATGTTCGCAGCTAAAAGTGGGTCAATCTGTTGAATTCTTCCCACTTCGCGGCTTCTCTTTTTCACTTTGCTACACACACACGCATTGGATTTTAGCCCAATTTTGCGCGATTTGTTAATCATGTTTCGCTTTTGGTCAACAACTTTGCATTCAATTGGAATGCCATTTGCTCTCTTTTGAAACGGAGAGCATACACGGAAAAAATGGATCTATTTGCCCACTTGTGTTTGTTAATCTACAAATTTTAAATGACATCGTTTCTCTTTAAAGAAACAAATAGTTTGTTATATTTAACAATATTTTAAAGAAGCTTTAAATATTATGAACTGTTTTAATTATGAAATTTATATTTTTGCCTATTGAAATTATATAAGTTTTTTGCCAAGCGTTTGGTTTTAAAAGTATATAAGAAAATTAAATTTTGTTACTGATTCTATTTTGATTTTAAATTATCTTTTTGGTCGTAAGAAAATAGGCATTTCTTTTTTGCTTTTAAATATTTTAAGTTTTAAAATAGATTTAATTTGACTGCTCTTTGAATATTTTTGTTTTTGTCTTACAAGTTGATGACTTTAATAACAAGTTGAGCAAATCAGCTTGATAGTTTGGGCAAATCAAATCTGGACAAGAAGAATACATATTTTCTTTCCGTGTAGAGATATTTTGAGAACGCTTCAAATTTCGTTTCGGTGAAAGTAGTTCCCAGTCCGCGTCCGCGTCCACGTCCACGTCCGATTTGGAATCGAAGTCGCCTCTGAGGCGCTAATTGAGTTGACGAGCGGCGGGCGAGGCGAGTTCGTGTCCGCAGTCTTTTGTTTGGTTTGGTTTGCTTGCTTACCGCAGAACGGGATGCCCTCGGGCACCCACTGCCCCTTGTCGCAGACACGCCGCGCCGGTCCCAGAAGCTCGAAGCCGCGCTCGCAGCTGTAGGATGCCACCGTGCCCTGGGTGAGATTCGCATTGGAGAAGACCACGCTGCTGTGCGCCGGCGATCCCGGGAAACTGCAGTCGGCATCTGCAAGTAATTGGAAGGGGAAGGGAAAACAATATTAGATTATGTGGCCATCAATTATGGGGAAATATTCTTCATCTTCTGAGATTGCCCCGAACCGTTCTCATCGCCACTCCGTTCTGCCCCTAAGCGGGCAAATCATTTTTGATTGATTCCCCAATTAAGGTGCGAAAGGGGTTCTCAGCGAATTGAGTTGCCCAGCCAGCTATTCTCCATCATTTATCAAATTAATTCCCCTCACAGATGCGATTAAATGTTGATTAAAACCGACGAAGGGCATGAAAAAATATTGATTCTAAGGTTCTAGTGTGTCGGGTATGATTGAATATTATTTAATTGAATTTGAAGAATTTGGGAAAGCTGAGAATTGATTAAATAGATTTACATTTTACGTTGAATTATGAGCTTCGATTATGAGCCTAATAACAGATTTCATTAAAAATTGATTAACACATTAAAGAAGCATGTTTTTGGTGGAATAGTTTCTAGGAATGATTGAATTTAATTAAATTAAAAGATTTGATTCAATTATCTCCCTTAAATAATACTTTTAAACATATCTCGTTTCTTCTGAAGCTCAGAAAAGGTAAATTTAGACAGACAACTATCACATTTCCCAACAGACTTTTTGTTTAAGACATAAGTAGTTATTATCAAACGTTGCTTAAACTAAACACGTTTCTTGTTATGATTTGTTTTGATGTCCAATCAAAGAATCTAAGGTATTTGAAATTATTACATGTTTTTTTCTTTTGCCGCTTTGTCAGGGGTATTTTCCCCCACCATTTGATTGACAATTAAGCAAGTTCCGTTCCAGTTTGGTCACTCGACGCCTGGCGAAAAATCTCTGGCATTCGCAGATTGCAAAATGTTCTCGACTGTTGTTGTTGTTGTTGTTTCTGTTGTCAATGCAAAGCGTGAGAAAATGGCCACAACAACAAAACAGAAAAAAAAATAAATAAAATACAGCCATCAATTTAGTTGTAGCTGCTGTACGAATACGAGTATCTATGCAAAAATGCGAGCCAGCCGTGTGCAATAATCAAATGTGTTGCTGCTGCTGTTGCTGTTGCTTCTGTGGCGGCATTTGTATGATTAGTTATTCAATTGAGCAGTTCCCAGGCTAACCGACTATCCAACTATCCAAGTAGCCAATGTCATGAGTTTGATTCATCCCCGACGCTGGCTGAAATTGTTCTTGGCCCAGAGCTGGCTAAGTGCGACTTTGCATAATCGAGAAGAGGGGCCAGTTAAAAGGCAGTCAGTGAGGCGGCGAGGCATGCCATAAATGGTCGAATAACTGCAACATCATTTGACCAACGGCCAACAAGCAACCAGCAACTAGCAACAGTGCAACTTTCCAGGCAGCTGCAACAGCGAGAAAAAAAAAAAAAAAAAACAAGTCGTTCCTACACATTGCAGCCAGATGCTGGCAGCTTCTTATACAATCCCGATGCCAATGCCAGTGCAATTTCATCATAACGGTGCTCCTAGGCCAACTTAGCCACTCCAATTCACTCGAAAAGCGGATAAATACAAAATGCTACACACAGATATTCAGGTATATACAGATATAAAGTTATAAAGATAGAGAGGCAAATCAAATTAGTTCGGGCAAATTGAAATTAACAAAAGAGCAACTTTAGGCGAGTCATTTGTCATGCAGGGCAAACGCAAACTCAAACGCAAATTAAGAAATCAAGTTCATGAAACATTTTCAATTTCGGTAAAGTTTTGGTTTCGGTTTCGGTTTCAGTTTCAGTTACAGTTTATTTTCCCCGTGAAAGATGGAGAAGGGGCAGACTTAATGACGACTCCCACGCTGTGCGTCGAAAGAAACCGAAAGAGCAGAGGACGACCCAAAGGTTGCCCAGTCGGCCATGCATGACAATGTGGCTCCGCGTTCGGCACCATACAATTTTTTCTCTTCTCTACTACTTTTTTTTTTGGCTCTGTACTTTGGTTTTTGTTGGCTTTTGTGCCAGGTAGATTTTAGCTGTTTTTTTTTTTTGTTGTAGTTTATAGCCCGAGTGGGAGCTAATACCTTAAAGTGCAAAGGCAGCCAGCAACTTGTTGCTTTCATTTGCTTTCTATGTGCGCGAACTTAGTGAAAGTGATACCCATACACTGTACACACACACACACACACACACACAATTGGACACACAGACATGTGTAGCACGCCACCATTGACAAAACAACAGCAGCAATTTGTACAACAAGCAACTACAGCAGCAACTTCAACAACAAGCAACTAGCAACTAGCAACGAGCAACGAGCAACTAGCAACAACAGCATTATGGAAGTTGGAATATTCATTGTGCGCGTCTTGGCGCGGATCAAAATCATCTAATAATCATTATAATCATAATAACCGTTATAATTTCCAACTAGTTTCGGACATGGTCCGTTGTTGCCGTTGTTGCTCTTGTAACAAATTACCCATCAACGCCTTTTCTTTGATTGCCTTGGCATTGTGTGTGCCGGCCTGTGTGTTTGCGGGGAAAAAGGAAAAAGTGTAGCACCAAAATCGAAATTGTTTGCACAGTTCACCCAAAAATTAAAAAAGAGAATTGAATGAAAAGAAAAATGATTGAATGGCAGTGGTGGTAGCAACAGCAGAAGCAGCAGAAGAAAAAACGAAAGCGGGATTTAATTTGGGGTTTCTGTGGTCTGTGGAAGGGAAAAGATTTTTTCCAGGCAGTTTGTATAATAGAAGTTGAAAAATAGTGACCATTAATAAACTACAAATGCTCACATGAAAAATTAATACAAAGTACTTACACTGACAGTTGGAAAAAATTAAGCACGTTGATAGCTTACTTATTAACTAAAGTAAATTTACTAATTAAATTGCCATAATATACCCATACATACAATTTGAATCTAGCTTATTGAATTATGTTTTAATAGTTATTTCAGAAAATAAAGAACCCAAAACTGATTTTAAAAAAATTTAATTTTGTAAAAAATATATATAAATTAATCCTCATAAAATATTAAACATTATTTTCTGCCCAATTTTTTTAAATCTATAATTTGAACAAGTCTTTTTGTTAAATTCCCATTAAATTATATGGAATATTTTTGTTTAGTGATTTACCTAATGAATTTGCTTTCTTTTGGTACAAATAAAAGGTTATGAGTGTTATGGTAAGCCATTGAATGAACATTTACCGCATGTCTGGGCTTTATTTATATGCAAAATACTGGTTTCAAATCAGCGTGGCAAGTGTGAATGGTCCACCGTTTCCGCTTCAGTGCAAGCCTCAATTAATGCGATTCAGCGGCTTAAAGTGCAGCTGAACCTGCGATCGCTGCGTAGAAAGTTTAGACTTGGTGGAGGGGGGCTTGCTGAGTTAAGAGCTAATGGTGACCCCCACTTAGGCCCAGGCTTCGGTGCGGTTCGGTCCCAGGGCCAGTCCAAGTTTCAGACCCAATCTCAGTCGCAACCTGCGCATTAGCCCCTCCTTTCCTCCTTTCCCCATTTTCCTTTTCCCATTTTTCATATTCCACATTCCGCACTGCACATGCAGCAGGTCTGCAATTTGCGTATGTCGGCTAATTTCATTTTAAATGCAAGTCCACACCTGGAGGCATTTTTACCTGGGGTGTGGCCGAGCGTCTTGTTCGCACGAAGCCAACCGCCATTGTTTCTCCCCGTTTATTTGGGCAGCTCATTTGCTTGACCCAAGCGCGATAATTAGTCTTTGTGGCTTTGCTGAGTGGGAAAAAGCTAGCAGTGAAAACCTAAATGGGGAAAACCTAAAAGAAAATCCGGCTAAAGGTTTTCTGCAGTGAGTGCAGTTCTGGGACGTCATGCGCTGATTGCCAAGCGCCTACGCTTCGTCGATTATTCCGCCGCATCTGCTGATCTGGATGTGAATATCTTGACTGTGTTTTTTTGGGCGGAAAGTGCAAGTGCTGCCACCGCAATCCGCACCCGATGGCCCAATTGCGATAGCCTAGGTTTTCCCTACCAAACCAACCTACCTATCTATCCATCTAACTTACTAAAAAAAAAAGACTAACTAAAATGGGGGAAAAGAAATTTTCTTTCCATTCACCCAAGCGGCGGGAGACTGGTCGAAAAGCGGCTCAAACCGTTAGCCCCCGTCATAATGGTCATACCATAATGATAATGATGATGCTGCTGATGATGATGATGATGATCATCGGGGGGCTGGAGAGTTTTGGACGCTGATTGGTTTTGGATTTACATAAATTGGCGCTGGACGCAGCTTCTCCTTTGCGGCGCGCTTCTCTTGACCCAGTTAGTTGGGTTTTTTTTGGTTTGGCAAGCCTGGCTTGTCGGCCAAATTAGTAGAACCTCGTTAAAATCGCTAACACAAACACACTCGGAGCGTCGGAGAACTTTGAAAAGATTTCGCAAGTGGCTCGGTTTGCGCAATGTGGCCATTGTTGCTGTTGTTGGCGGATGCGCCTGGCCAGACGAGACTTGTGCAAGCTGCAAGTTCGTTGCCTAAGTCTTTTGATTTGAACTTCCGCTAGAGGATCTCTCTAGGGTATTAAAGGCTACTTCGGGCACTTACTGAAGAAAAATAAGTAATAATATTAAGAAAATTTAGTTTTAAATAGTAAGAAAATAAAACAACTAAAACTAAACTAAACTAAACTATCCTACTTAAGGTCACTACTCTTCCTTGTTTTTGATGGAAAACAAATCTAATAAGCAAACATTTTAATTTCCAATACTTTCTCAGTTGAAGTTATGAAAAAAGTACAATTTTGTTATTTGGTAATTAATAAATATTATTTTATATAAGCTTCTATTTTGATAAAAAAATATTTGTCCTTCAAAAACCATACATATTATTATTGTATATACATAAAAATACTTTTTAAAAGATAAAAAAAATATATGCTTAAATATAGTTTTGTTTTTTCAGTGTATCTTTCGGCCGACTGCCCTTGGCTCTTGGTATTCTTCGGCAACCGTTCGTTCTTGCCTTTTGGAATTAATTGCGCATAAAAATTGCCCA